ACACTTAGAATGAACATAAAATGAAAAAAAAAAAAAAAAGAAATAGTACAAAAGTAGAAAAATATGTCTCACATTTTCATATCTCCTGCTGGAAGTCAGAAAATGTAATAAAAATTGCACAAAAAATTTTAAAAAAATTAAGTAAAACTTAAAAAAGATGCAAACTGATCTTGTAGGGGTGTCATGGTATATTGCTATTTCCACATAGTGAGGAGCCAAAGAAATTAGATTTTTTTAAATTGAACTACTAATTTAAAAACTGTCACAAATTCTTGACCATGGGAACCAGGTTCTGATCTTTCTTACCGAGGAATGTAAGGGAATAAACTCCCGAAGTCCGTGTCGTTACTGTGGGTTACGTACATGTCTCTGAGATCAGAAACTGCTCCTGTGGGTGTTGTTTTTGCTCGTGGCAGTTTAAAATTTCTGAATGGACTGGTGTAAATTTGAGATTGTTAGTTTTGGAATAGTTGTTCTTGCTTGATCCCGGCCACCAACTGCAATGTTTAAACGCAAGGCTTGTTGTGAAGCCTAAAAATATTCACACATAAGAAGCTTTTAAACTGGTGTCTTTAAAAGAAGAGTAAAAACAAAGATTGTGGCAAAAAAAAACTGGGGTCAGTGCTCTTGGTGCCTTTTCTATAATTGTACCTGTTTTTAATTACTTCTTTTCACTGCCAGCATTGAATTACAGTAGATGTGCTATAGCTCATTATCAGAATTCTCTTGTACATTTCTGAACTGCTGCTTTATGACCTGATTCAATTTAAAAAAAAAAAAAAAAAAAGGGAAAAAAGAAAAAGGAACGGCCTGGTGCTCACACTGTGCCTGTGGGCAGCCCCGTAGCCTCAATTTACTGGATGGAATTGGGACCTTAACCATTAAATTCTCCTCTCACACAAAAACAGAACAGGAGACGCCGAAGAATCTCTTTTGGGATGAATTGGAAATGCTCTGTATTAATCCTGGAAGAACTCTTGACATTTTGAAACCGAGATGTTGCTCCCATTAACCAATACGTGACAATATAGAATCGACCTTTTTCCTAACAAGAGTAGTGACCTCAGTGGAAATGTTTTAACTCCCTTGTCTTTACAGATAAACGATTCAGTGATATACAGAGCTATTTCAAATTAACTCTTCCAGATCCATGGGCCTGGTGGTGTATCTACTAATCTAGATCCTGCTTCAGCCAAACGTTTTAAGCGTGTACTTGCTGTTAAACACGCCGGCAGTTCCTCGGGCGCAGCGGAACTGCTCGTGTGCTTAAAGCCAAGTCCAGCCCCCGAGTGCTTTGTTGTGTCGGGCCATAACCCTTCAGTGTGTCCCCGGGGGGAGCCTGGGTGCTCCCCCTGCAGTGAAGTGATTCTGCTCACCCTTCCCTTGGTTGTGGAACTTAATTTTCACGGAAGATAAAAGTTAAGCGCAGCTTTCCGGGAAAATTCGAATTCCCAAGTGCCAGGAGCCAGATCTTCTGTCTTCTGATAATGGAATTGCTCCTTTGTGAAACACATTCGACAGCAGTAATACTGTGTGAAAGAAATAACAGAATATAACATGAACCCCCTCTCTGGTTGCACGCTTATGGCAGTTCCACACAATAGCTGGTGCCCAATGGGGGGTCCCCAAGACTTGCATGTAAAACTAGTATAGATGTCTTCTCTTTTGTAAGTTTTATTTTTGTAACCGTGCATGTAAAGCATCACTGAATCAATGGATCTGTTGAAGAACTCAGCTGCTGGAACCATGCAAAATGTTTTGAATTGCCCTTAAAATATGGAAAATGTTTTCTGAATGCTTTATATTCTTTCTGCTGTAAATTAAAAACAAAGAAAATTTCCCCATACAAAGTGTGGGCCTTTTTTTAAACACGTCCCTTCCATCGTAGTTTAAGAGAATGATGCAGCCCTTTAGTAACTGTAAGTAACCACAAAAAAAAAAGGTGTTTCTTCTACTACACAACCTGCATGTAAGTAGCATCTAGTTTCTTACGGGTTATAACCACGAGCTTGGTGGGACTCAACTGAAGGCAGCAACACAGTCCCTGGATCTGCAGCCCTTTCTGCTGCTCCATTCCAGCTGCAACCTTTTTGTAAAATGCAAGGTCTGCCCAGCTGCAGCAAGCAGCCTGGTGTTCAAGGCAATGTGCTGTACTTTATCAAATTTGGAAACACTCTGTGAAATTGTGTAAGGTGACATAACACTACATATTTATAAATATTTCCTCAGCCTTTTAGTGGCCTCAATTCCAACTAGACTTTCTAACAGAACTTACAGCAGTTCTATACGATCATAGAAACGTTGGCAGATACATACTCGTTTACAGATGACTAGCTTTTCTGACATCAAATTATTTTCAGTTCCTCTCCAGTAGACAGATGACCACTTTCAGGGCAGTGTCTGGGCTTTCCACGAGGAAGCGTGCACACCTACCAGCAGAATCATAAACCTTGCATTGTGCCCAGCAGAGGCCAATCTTAGTAGAATTGAAGAAGCCAGCAGAGACAGAAACCTAAGAGATTCCACAATAACAGAGACTTAACAGCTAACTATTGCACAGAACAAATACATGTTACATGAACCAACCCTCAATAATGCAAATTTTGTACCCGACTAGAAGGCTAGCTTTAATAAATTAATCATCTGGTTTGTGAAAGACTATGTTTGTACTATTGTGAGTAAGTTCTTCCAAAACCCAGGACCACAGCAGAAGATGAGATTCCATTAGGAATGTTTCTTCTGGACTACAGAGAAATAAGTTTAATTATGTTTCTCTTTAAGAATAAATCAGCATTTAACTCACCCAGTTTGCTCACAGATACTTCCCCAGTTTTCCATTTTACATGCCTGTTATTTCCTGGCTTCTCCCTTAGCATCATGGTGGGTTGACCCTGGTGAGAAAGTAAGCACCTACCAGCTGCATGCTCCTTCCTCCATCTCCCTGTGTCTCCCCAGCAGCATGAGGGATGACAACTGGAGGAGCAAACATGAAAAAAAAATGGGGTGCGATAAAGACAGTTTAATAAGTGAAGGCAAAAAAGTTAAAGAACAAAAAATAAGTGCAAGTGATGCAAAGGCAGTCCCTTGCTGTCTCCCACCAGCTGGGAGACCACAGGAAAGACCACAGATCCCCCAACCCGGCTTCACTGCTGAGGATGGTGTTACCTGGCGTGGAAAGGGGCTGCAGGAAAGCTGGGAAGGGACTCCAGCTCAGGGAGGACAAGGGGTAATGGTTTTAAACTGAAAGAGGGGAGATTTAGATGAGGCATAAGGAAGAAAGTCTTTCCTGTGAGGATGGTGAGGCACTGGAATAGGTTGCTCAGAGAAGCTATGGGTGCCCCATCCCTGCCCAGGCCAGGGGTTTGGAGCTGGGTGGTCTTTAAGGTCCCTTCCATCCCAAACCAGCCCGTGTGCCTGCGATGCTATGACTAGCCCTTCAGGCTGTTTGTCACAGCTGTGTCCCCTTCCAGCCTCTCACCTGCCCCCAGCCCACTGACTGCGGGGGCAGCATGAGACACCCAGGTGACCTTGGTGCTGTGCAGGCACCGCTCAGCAACAGCCAAAACATCACCGTGTTATCAACGCTGTTTTGGCCAGAAATTGCAATGAATGACAGCACTGTACAGGCTGCGATGAAAAACACCAACCCCATCCCAGCCAGGCCCAGTACAGGCGTAACCCCACCGGGGCCCCAAGAAATCTGGGGAGAGATCTGGGGGTCCTGGCAGACAGCAAAATGACAATGAGCAAGCAGTGTGCCCTTGTGGCCAGGAAGGCCAATGGGATCCTGGGCTGCGTAGGGAAGAGTGTGGCCAGTAGGTCGAGGGAGGTCATTCTCCCCCTCTGCTCTGCACTGGGGAGGCCACAACTGGAATCCTGTGTCCAGTTCTGGGCTCCCCAGTTCAAGAGGGACAGGGAACTACTGGAGAGAGTCCAGTGAAGGGCAACAAAGATGATTCAAGGATTGGAGCATCTCCCTGATGAAGAAAGGCTGAGAGAGCTGGGACTCTTTAGTCTGGAGAAGAGAAGGCTGAGGGGAGACCTTATTAATGCTTATAAGTATCTGAGGGTGGGCTGAAGGAGGAGGGAGCCAGATTCTTTTCAGTGGTTCCCAGTGAGAGGACGAGGGGCAACGGGCACAAGTTGGAACATAAGAGGTTCCACTCAAATATGAGGAGAAACTTCTTCACAGTGAGGGTGACAGAAGCCCCACCTGGATGCTCCTGAGTAACATGCTCTGACAAGCTCTGGGCAATCCTGCTTCAGCAGGGGGGTTGGACTGGATGATCTCTATGGTCCCTTCCAACTCTAAAAATTCAGTGAAATTCAGTGAAATGACCCCTGGCCTGGCCTCAAAAGCCCCTCAGGACCAGGAGGAGCCGCAGGGACAGACCCCCTTGCCTGGGGGCCCGCACCCCCCGCACGGCACATGCTGGTGCGATTTAAAAAATAAGAACACAGACACACATACACACAAAAAGAAACACCACACACACACTTTTTCCCACTGTATGACCACAATATCTCAAAATCACCAGGTGGGAAGGGTAGTTTGGGCCAAGTGTTTGCACGCAAGGCCATGTAAGGGCAGCGCTCCTGAGGGTGCCCCCACAGAGGCGGGAACACCCCGCACAGAGGGGCCGGCAGAGCCCCCGCCAGAAAGCGGCTGAGGGCCGGGGGGGTGTGTGGAGGGGACGTGTGGGATGAGTTGGGGGTGGTGGTGTAGGAGGAAGGTACCACACACCGCATATAAGCACCGCTACCCGCTGTACAGGCGGGTACGGCCGCTCCCGCTCCGGGCTCGGCTCCCTCAGGGAGACGCGGGGCGGGAACAGGTGAGGGG